TGGTAGTATTCATAGAATATGAAGACTATTCAGTGCCCAGTGACTCCATTCACCATGGAAACCTACGAGAAGATGCACTACAATGTCCAAAAAACGATAGTGCAGCTACGCCAGGGTTTTGTGGGAACTATATCCAAACAACAGCATCAGACACAATGTCCACAACACCAACTGAGAACATCCAACACTGACATTTAGTTGACTCTAGCCAAACATAATCAGCCAACTAAACCCGAGGAGCCATCCCAAGGCCACCCATTTACAGGAATTAAATGCCAAAGAGATGTAACACTCCTCAATCAACAGAATCCTCTCCTCCCTTTCATGGGATGCCATACCCACCAAATGTTTGGCTCCCAGAGGAGGTAAACTGTAAAGACAAAACCTTCCCTGGGAGGTCCTCTCACTACGTACAGGAACCCACCTCGAATATGCAGGCATTGAATGATGATATTGATGTGGAACAGTTTGGGCTCAAGTATCCACATCTTACTTTCTTATCTATTTTTGTTTAAGTTACTCTCATGATTTTTTCTTTAGAATGGAGGTTAAGCCTGATAGACGGTGTATCCCCACCCCTATGTGGGTCCTACTTTCGCAGTCACCAGGACACACCTTATAGTCCTACATTAGAGCCTGCGCCCTGGTGACTTTGTTTTGTTGTGTAGCGTTTTGGTTAAGGCTTGTTTTTTATTATAAATGTTTTACTTCGTCATAGGTTTAATTTTGCTATTTATAATGCAGTTTTTTCTTTTTGATGCAGATATCAATTCAAATGTTTAGATAATGTTTAAGATTACACTATATATATATAGACATATAGATATAACAGAAACGAACAAAATAATTGGCTACGTAAGTTGAACCGCTTTGAGAAATTCCATATATTTTTTGGCACATCTCCTATATTTTGTCCTTAATGGATGAAAAGCCTGAAAAGGATCATATAAAGAAACTCGGCTTGGTTTCACGCAATTTTCCTAGGACATTCCATCTGTATCTAAAAAAAAACACCCTTTGTTTTTTGTTTTGTTTTTTGCCAAAGCTGGAAACAGTCTTGAACTAAATATAATACATCTGAGCGTAAGAAAACGGATTGGACTTTAAACATGTATTTTGTTACTTCTCACCTAATAATACTCTAGGGGATTGGTTTACTCTTTACCGTTTTTTTCCTCAAAAATTAAAAAAATTAAACGCAGAAAGGAAACCGTTGGCTAGTTTTAATAATTGTTTTCTTAATTTGTGCTATGTTTCACATTTAAACGTCCATGTTTCAATTCCAATTTCGAAAGTACGCCAAAGTCGAATGTTTTTGTTGACTGCTTGCACATATCATAAGCTAGAATTAGAAACAATGCCAGCATCTGCTGATCGTGCAAGATCCCACGCATCTCTTTGTAAAATCGGCCATAAGATGCAGTTAAATAAACTGAGAAATATAATCTCTTATACAATAGTAAAACATTTTTACATTCTGATTATTGAAATTGTTTTTTTAACATAAATTTTTACTTAAAGAATCGATTAAGTTTAGATTAATTTTAAAACATATTGGGTAATCTGAAATCAGTATTTCAGACATAGATAAATAACATACAATATAACATTCATATAACATACAATATTCACATACATATAATATACAATATTCACATACATATAAAATTACTTACAATATAATACTTTATTACTTCTCATGAAGATCAATGAGTGAAATAACATATTGATGTTAGCAAAAAACTTATTTTCGAAACTTTAGAAAAACTGTCTTTCCATATTGTGTAAATCACTTGTGTCTTCTATTTTATATATTCCATATATCCTTTCTTTATTATAATGCACAATAATTGGTTTGTTTGATTACTTCAACCTATCTTAAACAACAGTTGATCTTTTCAATTTTCTTGAAAGGTAACTTATAGTATTCTATAAAAACCTCCTATCAAGACTTACTTGTTCAGTGCATTTGTTTCCCAGTCTTCTTACATCTGAAAAAAAAAGATTAACGTGAACAGAGAAAAAAAATGTAGTTACAAAACATAAAACGAGTTATGCTATAATACTGAAATTAGAAAGAAACGTGGAAATACACCAAAATATAATTCCAGTTTTCAGTTGCAAACTTCGTTTACTTTAAGCATTGTGCAACACGAGAGAAAAACAGTCGAAAAACTGATGTCAAAACCATGACCCACTTTAGATAGTTACCATATAAAAAAGAAAATGCGATTCGCAGATGATTAGAAGAATCCGAGGGCCGATTTAAGTAGCTATCAAAATTGAGAACTAGTTTAAAAGTAATTATGAAAAATCAAGAATCACTTTAAAAGTGCCCCCAGTGACACAGTGGTATGTCTTCGGACTTACAACACTAGAAACCGGGTTTCGATACCCGTGGTGGGCAGAGCACAGATAGCCCATTACGTAGCTTTGTGCTTAACTTCAAACAAACAAACACTTTAAAAGTACACTGTTAAAATTAAGCAGCAGCTTTGTAGCCGTTATCAAAATTAAGAACCAGTTTAAAAAGACACTATGATAACCAAGAACATTTAAAAAAAATCACTTTCAAAGCCAAGAGCTTAAGTTAAAAGTCATTGTCAAAATATAGAACCACTTTGAAAGTCAGTGTTAAAAATGAAATTCGGATTAAAATTAACTACCTGAACCTAAATACC